CTTTGGACCTGCCTTTTACAACAAATGAGGTTAGAACATTTCGAAATTATCAGCTCTGTGTCTATTTCAACTTAACATAGGTCAAGTCATGTGGCGCATTCTAAAATATACGTCTAACCCGAAAATTGAAATTTGACGACGGATGGTCAAATATTTGTATTTTTAACGTACATTGAAAAGCTCTCGCGTCGCTCACAATCATTTGCCCAAATAAATTTTTACAGGAGTCTGTAGACCATCTTTCTGCGATTCAACCACCAGAAGCTTAATCCATTCGAAGGTTTCGCACATGGTGAAAATTAATTATATTCACGAATTGAAGTACTTTCAAGTGAATGAAATACATGTCTTCGAAATTTAATTATTTTGCACCGAAAAAGACAACGCAACATTCCCTAAAGTCAACCCAGTACACATTTAAACATTGCACAAAAATATTTGAGTGTGTTAAAGACGGGAGAATCATGTGGTTTTGCATGCGAGGCTCTCAAACTTGTTTAATGAAATGGTGCGTCAAATGACGATTTTAGCGGAATTTTTAATTTGCCTATTTCTTTGAAATGAAAGGATATTTTGGCAAAAAAACTATCCAGTAGTTTTTGTCATGCCCTAGCCTATCTACCATGAAAATATGAGCGAAATCGAATTTTCGACTCTTGCCGAGTTATTTTCCATTTTTCTGGACAGGGACTCTTAATCGTATCAACAACAAAAAAATCTCGAAAATGATTATTTTTCCGCGACCCTATTTTCACGTAATTACCGCACGACCAGATGGGTATCCAATTGCAGATATCAATTACAGCTTTCTGTTATTAGACACTGACTTGCAATTGGACACCTGCGCTATTCCCACGTTAACTACAGTTTTTTAAAACTTTTGGAAAATACCACTGGCAATCTCAAACATGTTACTGATACGATTAATTTTTGATATCAGTAAAATTAATTGACCGGATGGAGAACAATTCAGCGAGTAATCGGGCGACCTCGTGTAATTTCAAAATCGACCGGACGCCCTAGGCTGGACGAGAGGGCAGCGCGAGGGCGATTTCAAATTACGAGCACGAATCCTAAACTGAACGATTACTAATTTATAGTATCAATTACACATTTGCACAATTAGGAGCCAATTCCTCTAAATGCCGAGAATGAGATAACAGTCGCGAAATTTCGGCCAAGTAACCTCTATATTGTTTTCGAAAATACCATTCAAAGTTCCTGAAGCGCTTTGGTTTTTCCGAAATCGAGGAAGTTCGACAATCGCCATTTTAGCTGGCAGCCGCCGCCGAAAATGTCCGAAAATTGTGCATTTTCTTTTCGCTCGTACAGGTTAACGCGATGCTATCTATCAATATACTTTAGGTAGCTCATGGTGCCTGTCTTGCTGTTTCTATAGCATTAATTTGATTAGCAAAAGCTCCAAGAGTTATAATATTTTAGGCCGATACAAGTACCTTCATCGAAGCTAGTGAGCGAAAGGGCTTATTTTAGATAATTTCAATACCACCAAAAACCCACTGGAATATTGAATTTGAAGTTGAAACTAAAATTTTCTGAAAGCTCACACTCTATATTATATTGTGCGAAAGTCTCTTCCGCGGCCCGAAAAAAGTACCCCGTCGAGCGACATAAACGTGTGGTATATATGTGTATCTTATTAGATGTTTTGGAGTGTAGAACCGCTGTATATTTTTACTTGTTGTACCGTAGTCAATAAATTTGTCAATGAAAGACGGAGAGTGTGACAGTTTTGCGTGCGCGCGCCGACCTGTACGGCAAACAGGTTTTCTACTGTACAAATAACTGTGCAATATCGCTGTTAATTCAGTATATAGCTGCATCAAACTCCAATATTGCCAACAGATCTATTTTTTATTAATCTTTGCCAACTGCCCAAATTTGAAATAAATTGGATAGTTTTTACTCGAACGTTTAGTTTAGCTTTGAACAAACTGTCCAATTTGAGAAAAATCTGGATACTTTCCATCAACCAGTCAAATGTCAAGATAAAGAACCGAGTATCGGCCAATCAGGTTGCAGCTATTATCACTGCCATCAAACGTCAGCGAGTGAGGTTTATTATGTTTTAATAATGGCGGAATTTCCCGACTTTTCTCTCCACCTGTTTGACGTCTCAAACTTTCAAATGGAATCTTCAGCTAGGTTTCCAGAGATAGAGGCTACTGATTTACTCGAGATGAGGGAGAATAATCAGAACAAGAACACTCAAAGAAGCACAAACACTTGGGTTAAAGTGTTTGACCTGTGGCGTGCTGAGCGAAGCGAAGTGAGAAAGCTTGAGGAGATTCCCGAAGACGAGCTTGACGACATTCTTTGCCGATTTTATGCAGAGATAAGAAAGCAAAACGGAGATGAATACGAGCCAGATAGCCTTGCTGTTATGCAAGGCTCCGTAGACCGCCATCTAAAGAACAACGACAAGAGTTACAGCATACTACGAGACCGCAAGTTTGCCAAGTCAAGACAGCAACTAAATGCTAAAGCCAAGCAGCTTCGAGAGAAGGGCTACGGGAAAAAGAAAACTGCTGCTGATGTTCTGAATAAGGATGATGAAGAGTTTCTGTGGCAGTCTGGCGAAATTGGAAAGCACTCTGCAGAAGCGTTAATCAACGTGAATCTCAAGAATTTAACAGAGCACTTCGGGCTGTGTGAACGACAGGAACATTACTCAATGAAAGTCGAGGATTTCCAAATAATAACCAGCCCAGACAACTCAGTCAAGTACGTAAAATTTAAAGAGGGTCCTGCCAAGACAAGACAAGGTGGCTTGAAGGTGAAGCACAGGGCTGTCCATCCGAAAATGTTCGCAACGGGCGACGAAAGATGACCGGTCATGTTGTTTGAGGAGTTGATTCAAAAGTGAGACCATGTTGTTGTCAAATAAAATAAGCTAGCAGATGGACAATTTCACTTTGGAGAAATCCCTACATAGCGAAAGAGTACAAATATTCCCGAGAAGCAAAACTGTGATGAAATGGAAAAGAAAATATATATTTCTGTATACCTTGTCACACCCCTGAGATTTGGAAAACTCCCTACATGGATCAACTCTAATAGACTCCCAATATTTTTCTTGTGCTGGACTATTTTATCTTTTCTTTTCGTAATGAAAAGTTGTTCGATCGATTAGCCTTAAAGCTAACAAACTTCTGACAAAGTTCCTGTCAGATAAATAAATAATGGTCTCAATACTTATTTCTGTATAGACTTATTTTATAAATTTTTGAAATACCAGTGTACATTGCACCATGAAATATTTATTATTCAATCACAGACGACCTCCTGAAATGTGAAACAAAGGTCCACTGTATCTTACTACCATTTCCAAACCAAAGGGGCCAGTGTGGTTCAGTCGGCAACGCATGGGGGAGCACAAGATAGGGGAAATAATGAAGTCAATGGCCAAGAAGTCTGGTTTGTCAGCTTCTACCGGAAAAAAGGTACACCAACCACTCAAGCCGGAAGACCTGTGTACAGAAGCCCAAAAGTGCGGGAGTCCCACGAGACAAGATTATCGATGTAACAGGCCACCGCAGTGTTATGAGCCTCAGCTCGTATGAGGGGTACAACGAGAACCAATGTAGACAGCTCTTATTCATTATAAGTGGGAACAATCCTAAAAATGATGAGTCCAAAAGCAACCCCTCCCCCCTTCAGCCTCATAATAATAGTGTGGTGAATAACACATTCACTGGGACAGTGAATTTCTCTGGTGGATTTGGGCTCCAAGGTATGCCTGGACCCTCTACCCTGTCCCCCCGGATGTCATCAAATTCCAGGAAGCCCTGGAAAAGGCTGAAAGTATTGTCAGATTCTGATGAAGATTAATCTTGATATGAATTTCAGTGAAAGCACTTACTTCATTACGTGGATTAATTTAAGTACTTGTCTAAATTTTATTTGAGGCACCTATTTTATATTCAGGTTCTTACAATCGCCTTGTATCAAACTTTTCCATTGTGATCGTATTTAATCTTGTCGGTTGTTATTTATTGTGAAATTGCTGCAGTCAATACCCACATAGGTTCATCTGTTTTTGGATGCCATATAATTAATAGGTAATAGGACTGCATGCTTGTCCAATTTGGAAATAATTGGATTCAAAAAATTCCTCGGACTGCCAAACTG